CCTCGGGCTTCGGCACCTGGCAGTAGTCGTGGTCCCCAAAGGAGCGGGAGAAGGGACGCTTTAGCACGGCCGGCTGCTCGGGGAGTGCGGGGCGCCCGGCGACTCCGCTCAGGTGGGCCAGCAGCTCTGTCCTCTCGGGGTGCTTCCTGGGGGCTCTCCGGGACCCTGACACATCCCCCGCGGCCCCGGGGGCCGTCCCGTCCTCCTTCCCTGGCTCCTGGGGGATGTCTGGCTTGTACAGGTCCTCCTCGGCGGGCTTGTACGGCGGAGTGGTGGGTGGCGTCAGACCTGGACCCCCCCCGTGAACGAAGGGGTCAGCTCTGCCCCCGCCACCCTGCCCCCTCCCACCCCAGTGCCTCACCCACCCACTTCGAGGAGAAGAAGGGTGCCTGACCCCAGCAGGGACCGGAGGACGCTCCCTTCCCTTCTGGCTCATGCAGGGTCCCCCAGACGGCCCCTCTGTCCCAAACGCATCCCCGCGCCACTCGCAGTGCTCGGATGCAAGGGCGGCACATGGGAAGTCTCCTGCGATTGCGGCGTGAAGGGGGGTTGCCGGGCCAGGGGATGAACGTGCCCCCTTGGCTGGGCTTGGCTGGGCTCGGCTGGAGCTGGTGACTCCAGGCTGAATTTAGGGTAGATTTGCCCCCTCCCAGGGAGGATTTTTGCAAAATTGAAAAATTAAAAGGCCGTCCTACCTGCTGTCCCACACAGCTCCACAGTCAGCATTGGCTCAAAGTTCCTCTTCCCAAAGGCTGGGTCACTGGAGAAGACCAGAGAGAAAGGAAAGCATTTAGGTGAGCCACGGTCCCAAAACCCAGAAGGGAGCTGAGAAAACGCTGCCTGCAAGCGAATCCTCCCACCACGGCTCGTGCCTGACAGAGCAACCTGGCGGAGGGGTGCGAGCGGCAGCGGGATGAGCAGCGTGCCCTCCCTGTCCCAGCTCTGGGGACACGGAAATGCCCTGCCCTCGGCCCGCGGCTCTCTGAGCTCCCGCACGTGAGCGATGGCCACGGGTCCCTGCAGCCCACGTGAGCGATGGCCACGGGTCCCCGCAGCCCACGTGAGCGATGGCTATGGGTCCCTGCAGCCCATGTGAGCGATGGCCACGTCTCCCCGCATCCCCGCGCCCAGCTGCATGGCTCCGTCTGCTCCGCAAAGCACCTTCGCTTGCCCGCTGCACGTGCATGCCCAGCCAGACAAACCGAGGTGGCTTTCCAGCCCCGGCGCGGTTCGTTTAGCCCCGTGCACACTTACGTTTGTGCCAAGGAGAGCGTGAGACACCTGGGTGTTTCTGAAAGGCAGGGAGAGAAGCAGGGTTACCAGCGGAGCTGTGCTCCCTCCAGCGCTCGCAGTGGGAGCCGGGGCCCCCTGCCCGCCCGGGCCTGGCGAGGGGCCGGGCACC